TATCCAAATTAAAGTACAGTAAGGTATTATACTACTATTAAACAACAAAATACTTTTTTTGTATTTTTTTTATTTACAATAATGGCGGCTTGAAAGGCGATTTACCGGAGCGCTGCGAAAATCGATGATCGTGTGGTGGGCACGATAACTCAGTCCAGGTTTAAGTTAGAACAATAAACGAAAAATAATTAGTTTCTGTAGCCTAAAAGCTAGCGAAATACGTAGCCGTTTCCAAAAATATGCATTTTTCACAAAATGGCATCGATTTGAAAGAAAAGATACGCATTTTGCCCTAAATTTCGTTAATTAATGTTGCATAAAAAATGCGAATATCAATACATTGAAAAAACCATACGTATTTCGCTAGATAAACATATCACGAATAAAATAAAAAAAGAATCAAAACGATCGATTGAAAATTGGCGGAGCTAGAGTGCCCACCGATTTTTAAAATGCAGTTTTAAGAAAATCGCGTTTACACCTATACACCTGCCCACCGCACTATCACCGATTTTCGCAGTGAGCGAGTTTAATAGTAGTATAATACCTTACTGTACTTTAATTTGGAAAAAACGTTTTAACTCTTAAAAAAAAATTCTTGAAGAAACCGTAATTTTTGGGTGCGTCAAAGTGGTGTAACCCCTTAAGATAAATTGCGGGAACCCTCGTATAGCACTGCACCCTATAACACTGTTTCGCTCTAACACGATAAGAAAATTGCGAAAACCTTCGTACAACCCTGTACTCCTACAGCACTGGATAACATGGTTTTTGTTTAAAATATTTAAAAACTAAATTACCTTAAAATAATGGCGGGAAGGAATAATAAACTATAGTGCCTTTACATGAAAATAATATTTCTTGTTTTTTCTTCGTTTTATGCTATACAAACATTTACATTCTTAATCAAAATTAAGTTGCTTATATGGAATTGAAAAAAAGGGTTTTTAATAGGTTTTCAGAACGTAATCTCCCCTTTTTGTCCTGGCTCTTAGTCTCATATAACACGGTTTCACCTAATATGGCATTTTCTAGGAACCTAACTACCGTGTTATAGGGGGGTTACCTGTATTCAAAATGTCATCAGTTCTGTTTTGTTTTATTGTATAATTGATTAAACAATTTTCATACCTTATATGTATACCTTTAGTACAATATATGCAGGGTGGCCGGGAGAGGTTGGAGAAGGGGGGCATGTTCACTTTTTCAAGGTTTCGGAAGTACGCTGCAGGTGTGTCAAAGGACATTTGTTACTTACAATGGGGACGACACAACTCAACATCAGCCAAGGTAAATGGTCCGAAACGGATGCTGCCGTTTGGAAACTCGTCCCTGGTCAATGTGGCCAAGTGTCACGGCCAACTCGCAGGACTCGAAGAATTTCGGAATGTTTAAAATAGCCTACATGCTTGGAAAAACGCCCGAATTCTTTGCCTCTTTTTTCGAACAAGAATGCGCAAAGTTTCAACGAATTGCCAGCTCTCAATGTTTTTCCGAGGAGGAATCGTGCAATTTATCGTGAATAATCGAACGCGAACGGGCTCGGAGTAATCGCAGGAACGAGCAATTGTGGAACATTTTTATTTCGTCAGTAATGACGTATGTATACTTATTTAAATATTTGTAAATGAAACAGTTTAGTCCAGTTTTTGCCAGCTAGTAAATTTAGACGTCCGAACGTCACGGTACGTGGGACAATGTCAAGCGGTAATTGTTGTTAACAGGGGCACACGCGGTACTTGACATTTGCCAAGTAATTCGTAAAAGAGAGACAAAGCTTTTGACTATTTTCGAGGTCAGCAAGGATTAGTTTGAATCTGGACGGTGTCGTTAATACGCATTATGATTCCGAGTAATTTCAAACAGAGGGGAATCATTTGGGATAATATGTCTAATACCTTGTGATAATGTTGTTAAAATATTTGAAATGAAAATATTAAAATTAATTTTAGGCCGTATGTATACGTTCTGAACAAGTCAATTAATTAGTCTTGGGTATTTTTCAATTGATTCCACTGCACTTTATTTCAAATATCTCGCTGTAGCCGTGTTGCGCATTTACCTAGGTTTTATAAACCTACAGGTGCAACAGCCTAAAATTAATTTTAATATTTTCACTTAACATATTTGGAGTTTCATGGATCATGAAATCTGGGAGTATAGCGCCAAATACGCACATACACGCGGGGAAGCGAGGAAGGTATCGAATTCGTAAGAACTCTCGTTATAGGAATCGGATAACATTAATTGTTTTTTTCTCATCCTCGTAAAGAATTTTCAAATTTCTGGAGCTCAGTGTATTAATTAACGGATTTAAAATCTACTTTCAATGTCAATATATGATGACGCAAAAGCGGCAGACTTAACCGGGTCTTAGACTTGTCATTGTGCTTGTCATTTCTGTGATGTAAACGATCGTTATCTCGGAACGAGAGGGAGCTTCAATGATCTCTCGCTCCAAATCACGGAAGCTGGGGATACGAAGTAAACCAGGCGTGTCTGGAATATTTAGTCTTCGCAGCGTTTAGTTATCTTGAATGTTCCCAGAATTTTCATCGACCCGTAGTCTTGGCACCGTTTGCGCAAAACTTGTGCGTCCATACATCCGCAATTTAATCGCAATCTCTTCGATTTGGTTCAAGACTCGAAAGGAACGAGCACAACACCCTATCGCCGGAAATGTAAATTTCCAGTTAAGAAAAAATTGCTCAGGATGTTTATAACATAGTAGCAATGTCAAGTTTTATACGTTTATTATCCGATGCAAAAGTATTTTGCATAGGAAGAAGAGCCGATTTTCAAATGAAAGTCTCGACTAGTAATTGAATCTATTTAACTCTTGGCACCGGTTGCGCAAAACTTGTGCGTCCATACACCCGCAATTTAATCGCAATCTCTTTGATTTGGTTCAAGACACGAAAGGAACGAGCACAACATACTGTCGCCGGAAATGTAAATTTCCAGTTAAGAAAAAATTGCCCAGGAAGTTAAAAACGTAGTCGCGGTGTCAAGTTTTATACGTGTAATATCCGATTCAAAATATTTTGCATCGGAAGAAGAGACGATTTTCAAATGAGAGCCTCGACTAGTAATTGAACCTATTTAACTCTTGGCACCGTTTGCGCAAAATTTGTGTGTCCATACATCCGCACACTTTAATCGCAATCTCATCGATTTAAACATGAAAGGAACACGAGCACAATGTACTATCGCCGGAAATGTAAATTTCCAGGTCGGAGAAAATTGCCCAGGAAGTTCAAAACGTAGTCGAGGTGTCAAGTTTTGTACGTTTAATATCAGAATCAAAATATTTTGCATCGGAAGAACTGATGATTTTCAAATGTGAGCCTCGACTAGTAATTGAATCTATTTAACTCTTGGCACCGTTTGCGCAAAACTTGTGCGTCCATACGCCCGCACACTTGAATCGCAATTTCTTCCATTTGGTTCAAGACATGAAAGGAACGAGCACAACATACTGTCGCCGGAAATGTAAATTTCCAGTTAAGAAAAAATTGCCCAGGAAGTTAAAAACGTAGTCGCGGTGTCAAGTTTTATACGTGTAATATCCGATTCAAAATATTTTGCATCGGAAGAAGAGACGATTTTCAAATGAGAGCCTCGACTAGTAATTGAACCTACTTAACCCGTTAACTGCGGAATTTACTGCAACGTTACGGGTTATCGACGTGTATACCCGTCGTAAGCAGTTAACAGGTTAAAAATAGAATTTCTCCGGTCTGTGATTTTTCGTATCTCTGCGCGTATCGTCTTTATTCAATTTTTAATTATTGACTAAGATGTATCTGGAACGCTTTAAAATGTTCCCATTTTTACCGAAACGTAAGCATTTTAAAATGCGATTTTAAAGCCGACTTTCAGCGTTGTTAATGAAGTCGATCTCGAAGCAGAGGCAATAATTATTTCAGTTTCAGAGATCAACGGATTGGTAACGTTTCATTTCATTCCCTGTACCAAACAAAGGAAATCAAAATATCGACGAAGGATAACAATTAATATGCGTTTCAATGTCTAGTTATACTATAGCGTATACACCAATGAAAACATTAAATGATAAGATTCAACCTCAACATCGGTTCGTTTTTCACGCGGCTTAACGCGTAATAATGATTTATTTCCGCATATATGCGAGGATCGGCAATTTCACGAGTTAAATCCTGAATTTCAATTATGATTAATGAAATGTTCCTTATTTCCAGGAAATTCTGAGGTTTTCCTCTCTCTTAACTTTCCGCCTCCTGGCGTCAAAACGAGCGCATAAATCCTTTCGACTTATAAGACGCGAAGAGACAAATATTTCTGAAACACGGAAATCAACCGAATCCCCTCGCGCGAACCGTCATTCAGTTTTGAACCCAAAAACGACTTTTTCACGTACTCAAAGATCGTCGAACGGACGATTAAAGCGATGCAACGAAACGAGAAAGAAAAGGAATTTATGGTTCGGGGACGTTGCTTCGCGTTCGTCGGCTCGAAAATGATTTTTAAAACAATTAAAATTTTACCCGTTAACAATAGAGACCGTGCGATTAGTTACGATAGGCTCTTAAATGTGCCCATAATTATGAAAGTGGTCTAAGTCAAAATAAAAAAAAAAATGAGCTTATCAGTTATTTTACGCCATATTATTTCAAACAAAATTAATTCAATGTAATTTCGAAACAAAAAATATATGACTTGGACTACTTTCATAATTATGGGCACAAATGAAACCCAACGTTAGGATTAATCTTGACCATCCGTCCCGTGTCGTTAGTCGCATTGGCAATCGCGATACAATATATCGCGGCTCTCAATGAAACCATGGAGTCCCGAGCGAGGCGCAAACGCAGTCCGCAGGACGTCGCCGCGCCTCGTCGGGGACCCGGGATAACTCCCTCTAAGGCCGCACCGGGACTCTCCTTTGTGCCGGATTCGGCGCGCTCTTCTCTCTCCCTCCCCTCCGCGCGCGCGGCGCGGAGGGGAAGGAAGCACGTTGGCTCGGTCGGTCGCGGTCGGGTCGCCGGGCAGAGGCAGTGGTCTCGCGTCTGCGCGTTGCCAATCCCTCGGAGGGAACCGAGCGCGGCGTTGCCGCTCGGCAGACCGGGAGCCACGAGGGAGGCCGCGGAGTGGCGCCGTCGCCAGTCAGTTTTTGCCTCGACTAGACGGTAGATGTTCGTCGGTTGAGCCAGGTGGCCACGATGCGCGCGCGTGTCACGTGACACGGCGAGGAACCGGCGCAACGGTGCTCCCGGAGCAGAGGGGGAAAGAGGGAAAGAGAGCGGGCTCCGCGGTCGGGGCTCCCTTCGCGCGGCCATCGCGACCGCGAGAGAACTCGCGTTTTTGGATTACGACGTCGGAGGCGGAACGGCGGACGGGGCGAGCGAGAGGGGGAGAGCGACCGGACGGCAGTATGCCACCGGACGGCCGAAACGCCGCCAGCGTAACGTTCCTCGGAGATCGCAGCGGGTAACGCCGACCTAACCCCACTTCCTGGGAGGAGAAGGAGCGGAGGAGGGGAAGAGGTCGTTGCGGACCACCACGTGGTGAGACGGCGATCGACGAGCGCCTCGGCGCGGGAGGAGAATGTAGCGGCGCCGGGCGGGTCGAGAGGAGGTCGAGAGGCAGTCGGGGCGGCGGTTCGGCCACGAGGACCGGCCCCAGGGAGAGGATATGGGAGGTCGGTCGTGCCGCAGCGGAATCGAGAATGACGTCGCAGGTACGAGGGATGGGGCCGCGAGGCCTCGCGGTGGTCCTGGCGCTGCTAGCCGCCGCCGCCTGCTCCTCTGCCGGGGATCCCAGCCTCCTGGCGGCGGGCGAGTGCCCGCTCCCGCGGGAGTGCGAGTGTTCGGCCGACGGAAGGGCCGTCTCCTGCGCGGGCCGGAGCTTCCTGGGCGTCCGGCTGCCGGGCGCGGCGAGGGAAGTCGTCCTGAAGGGCGTCCGGGCGGCGACGGTGCCGATCGGCGCGCTCGACGGGCTCGCCGAGCTGAGGAACCTCTCGTGGACCCGCAGCGGCGTGGAGGTGCTCGAGGCCGGGGTGTTCTCCTCGACGCCGCTCCTGCGTCGCCTCGACCTAGGTGACAACCGCGTGGCCGCGCTGCCGGTCGGCCTGCTCGAGCCCCTGCGCTCTCTCGAGTGCCTGAACCTGACCGGTAACCGGCTCGCCAGCCTCCGGCAGAGCGCCTTCCTGGGCCTGGAGAGCCTGGAGGAGATCCGCCTCGCGAGGAACCGACTCACGGTGGTGCCCTATCAGGTGTTCGCCCCGGCGCGGGCGCTCCGGGTCCTCGACCTCAGGGAGAATCTGCTGGTCTCCCTGCCGGACCACAGCTTCAAGCCGAACCGTAACCTGGTCGAGCTGCGGCTCTCGGTCAACCGGCTGACCAAGCTGCCGTCCCACGTGTTCTCGGGCCTCGGCCGGCTCCGCGTCCTCGAGCTGCGCGACAACGAGATCGACGTCCTGCCGCGCGGCCTCTTCGCCGATCTGGCCGCCCTCGAGGTCCTCGACCTCTCCGGCAACCCGGTCGCGAACCTCTCGAACGTCGCGTTCGCGGGCCTGCGGAACCTCGAGCGACTCAGCCTGCGGCGCACGCGGATCTCGGCCATCCCCAGGGACCTCTGGCGGCCCGTCGAGCGGCTGCGCGCCCTCGACCTCGGCGCCACCGGCCTCGAGGTCGTCCGCAACGGTGACCTCGCCGGCCTCGACCGCCTCGAGGAGCTCGTCGTGACGGACGGCCCGCTCCGGGAGATCTCCACGCGGGCCCTGGCCCACACGCCGGCCCTGCGGAAGATCGACCTCCGCGACAACGACCTGGCCTTCCTGCCGGCCAGCCTGGCGCGCCTGCCGCTCGTCGAGCTCCACCTGGCCGGCAACCCTTGGGCCTGCGACTGCCGCATGTTCTGGTTCGTCAAGTGGGCCGAGGACCACGTGCGCGCCACCGCCTTCGACAGCGGCCTCCGATGCGGCGCCGACCTCGCCGACGCCGTCGACATGCTCTACACGCTGCGCTACCTGAACTGCACCCCGCCGAGCCTCGTCAGGGCCGGTTCGATCGTCCGCCGGGTCATCCTGAGCCCGGTCCTCCTCGAGTGCGAGTTCTCCGGCAACCCGGCGCCCTCTGTGACCTGGGTCACTCCGACCCTGCGGATATTCCACTGGAACCCGGACCCCTCCTTTCCCGACGTCTTCGTCCGGCACCCCGTCGTCCACGAGGAGGGCGACCTCCGCCCGCTCCCGGAAGACGGCCGCATCCGGCTCCTGGAGAACGGCTCGCTCTACATCGCCCATCTACTCAGGCAGGACGTCGGGGTATACGAGTGTTTCGCCATCAATCCCATCGCTAACCTTTCCAGCTATGTCACTCTCCACATGGACCCCGTGACGTACTACCGGATCAAGATCCTGAGCATCGCCGTGGGGGCCGCCAGCGCGGTCGGGTTCCTCTTGATCACGCTCTTCGTCCAGTTCCTCCGGTATCTCATCGTCAGGTGAGAACGCGCCTGTCCCTCAGGTGGATCGCGGCGACCTAGGGGTCGTCGTCGATTCTCGACCGAAACGGTCGACGTCCCCTGGCTTCGTGGCTTTGAGCCTCCTCGAATTGTCCCCGTGGCCTCCGAAGTTATTCGCGAACCTTCGCCGATGTCGGGGTCCCGTTCCCTCGGTGGATGCTCTACTTCTGATCGCGCTCGAGCCAGCCTTTCGAACGTTCTAGTAGGACGGTCGGGCAATTCGTTGATTCCACTTGGTCGTTCTTTCAGATGCGGATGCGTCCGCTGGTGCTCGTGCTGCAGGCGAGTCGGCGCGACCCCCCGAGCCAAGCAGATCTACCAGATGTTGGACAACATCGAACAGTACAAGAGCCAACAGCTCGAGAGGCTCCGAGAAAATTACACCCAACAGGTGCATCGGATAAAGGACAACTGCGCCCAGCAGGTGGAGTGGATCCGGGACAGCTACGAGGGTCAGATGAGGCACATTCGCGACATTCGGGATTACGGGACGAGCCATCTGACCTCGCTCCGGGACCAGTACTATGATCAGGTAATGCGGACGTTCCCTGAACTTCAATCCCGAAATGACGTCGGTTCCACCTATACCGAAAAGCGTCAATTAAGCGAGTCTCAAATGTTCGCAACCGCAGGGTTCCGTCTCCTGTGACGAAAGTAATTACAAAAAGTGTTTCCAGTTCTTGCTCCGGTTGTATGTAGTCGTTTGTTCGCCAGGTGATAATGGATAGATGCTTTACGCGAAATGAAACGTCTCGTTAACCTCGCTGAGCATCTATGAGAGCTCGAGGGTCCGTTTGAATAATATTTAATTTAATTGACGAACGTCACTAACGGCCGTTTTTTATTAAATGGAGATCCCCAGCGGTTCGTTGTCTGTTCGTTACCTTTTGCAAGTTTTCTCCCCATTCTTCGGTCCACGGTTACAAACGCGAACACCGAGCCCTCGTACCTTTGTATGTTATCTCGCTATACGGGACGAGAGAATGAAACGAGGTTAGTGGAATTCGATGTACCCCTTCCCGTCTCGCTGTATTGGGATGGAAATCCCGTGTTTTCGCGGGAACGACTCCTGTTAACGACACGAGAGCGTTCGCGCGAGTGTCGCCAAACTGACACCTCGTCTCCGTTGCGTTTGCCTCTAGGTGAAGAGAGTACGAGACTATTCGACGGGCCAGTTGAACTGGGTACGCGAGAATTACGTCTTCCAGCGCAACAAGATACGGAAGTTCAGCGCCCACCAGGTGCTACGTCTGCGGGAGAGCTACAAGTACCAGCAACAGACGCTGAACAAAGTCCTGGAGAACCTGCCGAACCTCTACCTCGACAACTGCCGGAGCGGATCCTGCGGTAAGAGCGACTCGATCGTATTTGACCCGAAGGACACCGATGGCTTGGACACTTACTTTAAGGCGAAGATCAACGACCTGGTTAACGGGGTCAGCATGGACGACGTGAACAGCGAGTACTACACGCCGACGGAGCTGTCCTCGTCGAGCCCTTGCGGAGTCGGCATTTTGGAGGGCGTCCACATAAATTTCATCGAGACCAGGCCACCGCCCGTGCCCCTGCACCCGCCGATCTTGATCCCCCCGATTCGCGAATTCGTCGACCAATTCGGCAGCGTGACCCTAGAGGAGGGCTCCCCAGGCAGAGCGGCCTTTCGCGGGGGCAGCGCCGAGATCCTCGCCAAGGAGCGCCGGGAATACCCGGAGGGCTTCCGTCTCTTGGCACCGTGCACGAGCATGCCGGATCTACCGAACGAGACCAAGCTCTAACTCGGCGAATCGACGGAACCGTGGACGCCTCGAGACGTCCCGAGGATCGGTCGGCCCGGCAAGAGACGCCGCCTTCGAGGAAGAGTACCTGAATGAACCGTGGGACGAAGTGCGCGCATCCCCCGGAATGCCAGGAGGAGAGTCGGACCAAGTGAAGGTGATCGCAGGGGTATAACGACGTGGACTCGAAGGGATGAGGGGGGGAAAAAAAAAATAATGCGGACAGCTTCCAAGGACCCTTCCCTCGCGCGAGCCTTGGCGACCTTGCAACCTGTCCGCCTTTATACGAGTATCACGGAGCCGAGGCGGTGAATCGCTCGGCGTCGTCCTTAACAACGTATTCGCAATGCCTAGCTGTCAATTTCAACGAGGTCGATGATTCCTACCGGTTCTATCTTTTTGACTCTTTCTATCTCTCACTCTATCTCTCTAACTCTCTCTCTATATATATAAACAACGCGCGCACGAGGGCGTCATCGAATCCAATATCGCGAATCGTCGTCCTCGACCAGACCCCTTGTCGATTTCGATCACGCGATGGAGCCTCGACCTCCCAGGGTCCTCTGAATCGTCCCGGGAGATCGAACGTCGTCCCGGGCACCCCTGACGAGTCGACGTTGGCCTCCGACCTGAACTTGTCACTGTAGTACCCAACTTGTTCCAAGGGATACAAATATATTTCATTTACCCCCTGAAGCAGAGAGAAGTTTGAACCGTATCTCGACGCGCAAAACTCCACCGAGGATACTAGAAACGGGGAAAGATAATGTCGAACGACGTTCGAGTCGTGCGGGAAAGTATCATTTTGTGCCGGCCTTTTCGACCGACGGTATTTCGGATGGGCTCCGGTCGGTCGATCTTGGAGGCGTCTTTGGAGCGATTGACGGAACCGGGTTTCAAGCTGATCCAACTGCCAACTCTGGCGAGCTGGAAAGATTCTATCCTGAGAAAATCAGGGATCTCGGTCAGCGAACGCGCAACCGTGATCCTATCGTAGAAGACCCCGTGATCGGTTTGCGTCTACAAGGCGAACGTCCGATCGACTAAGAGGGCGTCGATCGGACGTTCGCCTTGTAGACGCAAGTCTTTGGAGCGATTGACGGAACCGGGTTTCAAGCTGATCCAACTGCCAACTCTGGCGAGCTGGAAAGATTCTATCCTGAGAAAATCAGGGATCTCGGTCAACGAACGCGCAACCGTGATCCTATCGTAGAAGACCCCGTGATCGGTTTGCGTCTACAAGGCGAACGTCCGATCGACTAAGAGGGCGTCGATCGGACCTGGTTCGATTACTTTGGGGACAAGGATCCTCGGCAGAGTCCTCGATGACGCGGGATTCATTGGGGTCCGAGTATCGAGTACCTCTCCACGAGGTCCTGCTATTTCGGGGCTATTGTCTTCCTCGTGGCTGGGTGTTGGCTTCTAAGATAAACTCTGTCGACGTGGGTGGGAGAACCTGTCCAAGATAGGCTTGTCGAGGAGTCCGTTCGCGGCTGACGGAACTGCGTTTTCTCTTTCCGCGGGTATGGACACGTACACGGCGCGTACGAAGGGGAAATGCCCTGTGTCTGTGGTAAAACACGCTCCCCATACGTACGGGAATCAACGGCTACGGATTCTAATTACTACTTAGTAACTGTGGCTACATTGTACCAATTACTATTAGTGATAATCGTTACGAGTGTTAATACCTACTGTACGAATATATACACGTGTATGATCACTTTGACCGTCTTTAGTCTCGAGAACGTCGGGGTTATTTAACCAGTACATTATCGAACGAAGCTCGCGCGTTCGAGGTGGAACCTAAGGTAACCAGCCTTAACAACGCGTGTTTCGAGAGGGGAAAAAAATAAATAAAAAATGCGGGAGAAAGTTGCTCAGAAAATTACGCCAGGTAGCGGCGGCACCGGTCCACCGTAAACTTGTATTATCAATGCAAATAGTAGTTATTGAAATTATCTACGGTTACTTGACGCGGCATGCAATAGAGTATGCCGTTGTACCGTGGTTTACCAGAGTCGATGGGCAAGCACGTCCGGCGCGATTCCTCGTGAAAGATTAAAAACATGCAAAAATTGGACCTCGGCTGGAATCGGGGAAACGAATGCGCAACTGAGAGCTTTGATAATAAAAAGCCTCGAATAACCTCGTTAAAAAAAAAAAAAAAAAACGAGGAAGCTGCAGCTCGGGCCGATCGCTCGAGGACAAATGTCATAAATGGATGATCGTTTTGTATGACATAAATACCGTCCGTGGTGAGCCAAAACGTGTAAACAAGTCCTGAGTACATGCTCAACAAGCCTAACAAACGTTATCCCCTTGCCTTAGGTTTTAAATTCCAATAGCGCTTGCCAGAAACAAGAAAAATGTCGGTCATACATCGGGCCATTTTACGGTTTGGCTGAACGTTCAAAGTCTCACACGTTTTGTTCACGTTTGGCCCGATTAATATACCACGTCTCTCACACGTTTTGTTCACGATTAGTCCGATTGACATCTCACGTCTCCCACACGTTTTTTTTTCACGTTTGGCCCGATTAATATCCTACGTCTCTCACACGTCTTGTTCACGTTTGACCCGATTGACATCCCACGTCTTTCACACGTTTTGTTCACGTTTGGCCCGATTAATATACCACGTCTCTCACACGTTTTGTTCACGTTTGGCCCGATTGACATCCTACGTCTCCCACACGTTTTTTTGTTCACGTTTGGCCCGATTGACATCCCACGTCCCTCACACGTTTTGTTCGCGTTTGACCCGATTGACATCCCACGTCTCTCACACGTTTTGTTCACGTTTGGCCCGATTGATATCCCACGTCTCTCACACGTTTTGTTCAGGATTGGTCCGATTAACATCCCACGTCTCTCACACGTTTTGTTCGTGTTCGGCCCGATTGATATCCCACGTTTCTCACCTTTTGTTCATGTTTGGCCCGATTGACATCCCACGTCCCTCATACGTTTTGTTCACGTTTGGCCCGATTGATATACCACGTCTCTCACACGTTTTGTTCACGTTTGTCCCGATTGACATCTCACGTCTCTCACACGATATTGTAAGCGAAGGAGTTAAAGTTCCATTTACCCGCGTCCGATCCGTCTCCGGTTTATACAGGGGTCGGACATGCACACATACGCATTTTCCATCGACGGTACCATATCCAAATGGGAGAAATCCCGTCCGTCCCCGTGCAAACCGGAGCCGGATCGGACGAGGGCAAATAAATCTGAAGAAAATCCATCCGATGATGAAATTAATGAGACATCCGTGAAATTTCCGTCAGGTGGTCAACCGATCGACCGAGAACCGATTGGACGCTCTGGGCTCTTTCGTATCAAGCGGCTCTTGATTACATAATCATTTTCTATGTGGCACGCGAACCCGTCATCCGTGGAAAAATTTCAATCCCACATCTAATCCGAAGTCCTCACGAGGAATCATCCCGACGTGCATACATATTGGTCGAACTTCGGGACACACGGTTCACGTATATCGCTCTAGTCATATCGTACGAGACGCAATAAGTAACGTTTTATCGTAACGCTAATCGGCGTTAGCCGATACCACGTGGGATCCGCGTCCTTACGTGTATCTCGCGCGCAAACACAGATGCAAGGCTTTCCTCTACTTTCGTTGCGATATCGTGCAATAACGCGAGGCACGAATCGTGCCCCTTCTTGGCGCGACTTCGTGACGATCTCGACGATAACTAGGATTCCCGTCTCCCCGAGAAAACACCGGGGCGTTTCGTTCGGCGCGCGAACGGACGTTAAGGGGATGTGAAAGTGGCACCCGAAAGCTCAATTGTTCATGAAACTTTTCTCCGAACTGGGTGTCTCAAATCGTTTCATACCTTAAAACGTGAATATGGAGACCCTAAGGTAGGTCCTAAAACTCGGGAAATTTCATTTCTTATAAACTATTTTTAAAATATCTATAAACAAATTTGAAAAGAATTGAAATTTCATTAGTTTCAGACCCTTCCGTATAGTCTTCCTATTCACGTTGTAAAGTTTCAAGCTATTCGATAAATCGAGTTGGGAGAAAAGTATTATAAACAAAACCTCTTCGACGCCACTTTCACATCACCTTAAGGGGATGTGAAAGTGGCACCCGAAAGCTCAATCGTTCATGAAACTTTTCTCCGAACTGGGTGTCTCAAATCGTTTCATACCTTAAAACGTGAATATGGAGACCCTAAGGTAGGTCCTAAAACTCGGGAAATTTCATTTCTTATAAACTATTTTTAAAATATCTATAAACAAATTTGAAAAGAATGGAAATTTTATGAGTTTCAGGACCTTCCTTATAGTCTCCCTATTCACGTTGAAAAGTTTCAAGCTATTCGGTAAATCGAGTTGGGAGAAAAGTATTATTAACAAAACCTCTTCGACGCCACTTTCACATCACCTTAAGGGGATGTGAAAGCGGCACCCGAAAGCTCAATCGTTCATAAAACTTTTCTCCGAACTGGGTGTCTCAAATCGTTTCATACCTTAAAACGTGAATATGGAGACCCTAAGGTAGGTCCTGAAACTCGCGAAATTTCGCTTTTTATAAATTACTCTTAAAATACCTATAAAAAAATTTGAAAAGAATTGAAATCACACGCCACTCTCACATCACCTTAAGGACGAGTCGAGCTAGCGCGCGAATCGTCAATCGCGCAACCCCATACACACAGTTCCTTATATTTCACGTTTCTGATGCGACTCCACTCCTTCCCCTCATCGGTTGTCGCGCCCTTCGCGGATGCTCCACTAGGTGAATCTAGGAACACCGGGTCTAACACTATTTCTACCACGATTTCGTGTACACCTATTTCGACCAAAAGGTTTTGACGAGCTGGAGGAAAATGATACCGCCAAATAAATTCAACAATTATTATACGAAAACTGGAAACATTAATTGAGAAAAAATTATTAAGCATTGAACATAATTTCAAGTTAAAATTTTAAAAGGAGTCTTTTATTACCTTTGGTAGAAATAGTGTTAAGGCATAGGACCCAATCAATCGGGGCCGGAAGCGCGGGACCCGGGCCGGGCCCGAAATCCTGCGCCACGGGTCCGCTAAGAACGGAACTTAGAATTCTCACGAGGCTCCCCGAATCTCCCCCTATATTATATTTTTTATACTCCCCGTTTTTCCGAGATCTTCCCCGGGGGGCTTTGGGATAGTGGAGTGGCGGGAAGGTCTCGCCGATTAACCGGCATTTCGCGCGGCTCGTAGGCGACAGGACTCTCGAGCAGGGCCGTTCTTGGGTGGTTGACTGCTCAGGTGCAAAAACAATATCGCCTCCTTTATTAATTTAATGTTAATTAATTAAGAGCTATATATGCAGCGTTTACTTCCGTGTCCGTACAGACATAGATGGTTTATTCTTGTATACGAGAAGCGTTACAACGATGACATAAAATTAATCCCATTGAATTCCGTATGTCAAAAAAGTGAATGACCACCAAAGAAATTATCATCGTTATTTGTGTTAATCAACATTTCATGTATAACGATAAGTTTGCGGCTGCTCAAGGGCGAGGGTACCTTTTTGCACCCCTGCTAGGCACGACTCTGCTCTCGAGAGTCGCTCCTTCGCCCTTCCTAATTAACGAAATTAGCCCTTCATTGCGTCGGCTTGAATTTCATTTCACTTTTAAAGTACGCGGAATGATTCTGAAAATTAAATCCCTCCCATGTCCGGACCATGTATCGATAATCGGATGCAATAGACGTCCACGCGAGAAAACGTCACGTGCTAATTCCGCACAGCTTTACTCGGGTGAACCTTTTGGGATTACTTTCAGGTGGGTTATAACCGAATGCATTATTCAATAGACGATCGTTTAAGTACCGCCGGCTAGCGACCTCCTTGCTTACCACATTTTCGCGACCGGCAAATTTTTTCCCGTTCCAAATACCGAGTACCGGCGAAAAGTAATGAAATTCATAAACTGGTTGCCGGCAACTTGTATCGTTGAAGGAAGGATAAAAATGATAAAATTTCTGCGCCCCGCCGGCTAACAATTAGTGAGCCAACTAAGCAGGACGTGATTCACGTCGGCGGCAATCAGGAATAGATTTTAAAATGACGTGAATTCACGTCGGCGGCAACCAGGAATGGAAATTGAATAGACGTGAATTCACGTCAGCGGTCGCGAATGTGTTAAGCGATTCCCTCGGGCAAAAGCGGCATCGACGAATGTTTCCACTTCCGTAACAAATGAAAATCAGAGAAACTACCCACCCAGGAAAGTACACAGGGGATGAACGGTCGAGCAATGTGGCCGTCTAAAAAAGCGTCGAGAGAAGGGCCTGTATGACGGTGGTATTACACGGCATGACGACTTGAACTCTGTGGATCTCTACTTTTAGTTAGTACGCATGATCCAAGCACCGTCGTCTGGTGCTAAATGTCAATTTTCGACTAGTTTGTTTATCACTTAAGAGTTGCCAATAAATTGGTACAAAAAAAGAAACCGACCACGCAAGGTTGTTAATATAATTTTTACTCGATTAACGGGCATTGTTTTACCTCCATTAGTTTTGGACGACGTTTTTCATACATAAAGGAATACTTTACAGGTTTCCACGGTCAATTTGGCACTGAAAATTCTGCTAGGCGAAACGCAACGATTAAATTCAGAATTAAAAGTCTTGTCATTGATTTCATCAAGGGGAACGGGGGCAAAGAATAAAGTTGCTTAATTGGGGTAGAGTGTCGACATGGTTCAACGATCATTGTCCACGTATACGATCAATCCGATCAATTATAAGTGTTCCCCTGCTCATACGATTAAGCTGCAACCTAACGCGACAGTTATCCTGGGTGCTTTTTTACGAGTCTTTTCTGCAACCGTGCAAACGCGTGCATCCTTCGAACGAGAAACAAAGAATTGCACAGAAGACGTAGATTTATTAACATCCAGTTGTAGGTGCGAATAAGTGGATTTCGCATCGCCATAAGAGTCGAAACGCTTGAAAACAATATAAAAATGTCGACCTCCTTCTCGAAGATCGCCGCTGTCTCCATTTGGAGCCTCGAGTCTATATTAGACCAGCGTCTTGCCACGTGGTGGCTCTAGTAGTTTAAAGGGGTTATGGATTTTAGTCAAATTAGTTGCGAGATGTCCGATCTACGGCGAGCAGCCGACATAGGTGGCCACACTTAAAAGGCGCGATTTACTCTTAAGGATAAAGGAAATCGTACGAACACGGTACCCGAGGAAAGCTTCTTTCCGAGATATAAACACTTCCCCTCTTGGCGACGGAATATGCCAAAAAAAATTCCAAATACTTTCATCGCGCACTCTTCCCATAACAATTGAAGAATATCAGTAGGCACAATTATACTTTATACTCCTACCGGAAGCATTTTTAAAAGTCTAACTCAAGGCTCCCTTCGCGACATTTTCCGTCCTGTAGTGCAGTACCCTCGATACCCCAGGATCATGTTCCATCGCTTCGCGTGAATTATTTTAGGAATTTTTTAACACCTTGGACAGCCAATGACATCGGCTCGAGTTTACAATAAAAAAGGATCTCTCTCCAGCCATACTCTCAATCTGGTATTCTTACGAAACCACGTGCCAAAGAGACGGAGGTTTATATCTCGAAACGGAAAATCTCTCGGGCCCAATTATGCGGACATTCTTCCGTCCTGGTCACTTATCTTCTGCTCACCCATCTCAGTTACGTCCTGCATACGCGTTAGTTGAAGATTACGCTCGCGGAAACTCAATTAGCCGAATAGGTCGGGACTCGAACGCGTCTCGCCCACTGCTTCGAGTTGCGACCCTTTGCGCACAGCAAGTTCCTCGGTAGAGCGGAGAACGAGAGGGCCAGACATATCGCGCATATCGCGTTGATGGATGCTCGATGTCGGCACCGGATGTCGGATTATTAGATCCGCCCGGGGAAAATAGGCAGAGTCGCGTGCGCATGCCCGGGGTCACGCTGCACGCTCCCAAGTCCAACGCGTGTTCGCCGCGCGCACTCGCGCGTGTGCCCCGCTCGGCGTGCGCACGAAAGGAAAGAGCAGGGCCCTATCGATGACAACGCCGCGACAAGAAACCACGAGACTTGCCTTTTTGACGTTTTCGTTGGTCAGTAGCCGATAAGCATTGATAATTGTACATTTGTTGGTCCGTTAAAATAAAGAGCGCAAAAACGCCAAGGAAGTACGTTCCTCCAGTGTCCTCTATAATTTAACACGGTCCCGACGCGTCTTATAATTCTTCCATTCAGGGTCAGAGTTAATTTCATCCCATTCACGAGAGGTCAGATAAGTACGCCCGTTTGTTATAAATGGTTTATCATGTATATGTGGTAGACAGTTTTTATGTTTATAAGATCGGCCATATAAAATAAAAGCACTTGTATGTTGAAAGAGCCAGTTCGATAATACCGAAAGCACGACAGTTGGGTAGTATGCAATTGGCAATGCATTGAATAACATGAGATCAGAGTTGATATTAATTTTTTAGTATCGAGAAAATATCCGAGCGTAACATTTCATTTTTCAATTTGATGTTTAGGGACGCTTATCCAATTTTGCGCATTTGTGACCGCGTATGAAAATGCAAATGTATGTTTAAGAACGTTTAAGATCGTTATTAAAGGATATTACAGATTGCAATCGCGGTCAGAGTTAATTTCATCCCATTCATGAGAGGTCAGATAAGTACGCCCGTTTGTTATAAACGGTTTATCACGTATATGTGGTGAATAGTTCTTATGTTTATAAGATCGGCCATATAGAATAAAAGCACTTGTATGTTGAAAGAGCCAGTTCGATAATACCGAAAGCACGACAGTTGGGTGGTATTCAATTGGCAATGCATTGAATAACATGAGATCAGAGTTGATATTAATTTTTTGCTATCGAGAAAATATCCGAGCGTAACATTTCATTTTTCAATTTGACGACAGTTGGGTGGTATGCAATTGGCAATGCATTGAATAACATGAGATCAGAGTTGATGTTAATTTTTTGCTATCGAGAAAATATCCGAGCGTAACATTTCATTTTTCAATTTGACGACAGTTGGGTCGTATGCAATTGGCAATGCATTGAATAACATGAGATCAGAGGTGATATTAATTTTTTGCTATCGAGAAAATATCCGAACATAACAATTCATTTTTCAATTTGATGTTTAGGGACGCTTATCCAATTTTGCACATTTGTGACCGCCCATAAAAATGCAAATGTATGTTTAAGAACGTTTAGGATCATTATTAAAGGATATTACAGATCGTAATCGGTGTTACGTGCATCGGAAGAATTAATTTCGATAATAGAGGTAACTACACGGGGGACGTAAGAAATCACGGCTTTTGTTCGCAAAAGTTGCAAATAACGGAACGACAACGTGCTTTAGATCCCTTTTACTATACATTGTCGCGACAGAATTGGTTGAAAACGCTCATTGAAAAATAAAAAAATATGAAATAGAAACATCTACAATATCCGCAAAACGAATATTTGTTTAAAGATACAAAAGTAAAAAAAATAAAATACTAACAGCAAAAATTTTGCTGTATTAAGTTGTACAATGACGTGTCCCGGATACTGTTAAGTCAACTGTAATCACGGTATCCAAGGTACAAAGGTACGTACTCTCAGGCATGTAAACTTGCGCGACTGATTTTAATTACTTCATTTTGTGCAGCGTATAACTGTGGAGTCAAGGTACCAGTATTTATTTGGCATGTAAGTATTGCACCACGCATTGTAACCATCATACGATATGTTTCTTTCGCGAAGAAGTCATCGTTATTGTTTCGATTATCGTTGTGGCTTATTTTATGTCCTGTACACATTGTAACGGATAATATAGATCATTTTGGATATGAAAGTTAGTGGTCGAAATATACAATTATGTCAATGTCAAGTGGGTTTGTTTTCAATTCACAGCGTAACCATTACGGCATCTTGCCGTACCGCTTGACCACTAAGTTGACTAAAACTCTTTCAAAGGCTACGAAACCTAATACTTGAATTTCAGAAAAATGGAAATACGACCGGTGGCATACACATTTTCATCTGTCTATCGGGATTGTCCACTTCCTTTCAGAAAATGAGAGAAAATTAAAATAGACGAACTGCATATCAACTGTGCACATTCGTAAATGCAGAAGTCTAAACACTTTGATGCAGCTACATATCTGTTTCCTCCAATTAATATTACAGTTTACTTTTCTGTCATCGCACCGAAATTGAATTGCAAATGATTGATCGAAGTACCTCTGACAAACGGATAAACATCATATAGATAACTTTCGAAATTGAGAATATTATTAATTGCATTTCACGTGTTCGATAAAATACACCTTTTTGTTATGATCCCACATAACATTAATAATTAATGACACTCTATAACAAGAATAAAGAGTTGTGTAAATATGCTAGTAATTTGAAAATTTCTTCGGCTATACACCATCATGACACCATATCTATTAGTATGGAAGACACGAGGGTTGATACAGAGATACGACAACACCTCGTGAGACGCGTATATATACATACGAATTATGAAGAATACAAAAAAAAAAAAGGAGATACCTTAGCGATAGTACATACCTTTTCTTGCGTCCTGTTCCAGACGATCACGCTGTGGCCGCTATTGATGAGGTTTTTTACGATACCACTTCCCATGATGCCTAGCCCGAGGAATCCGAATTTCAAAGTCGACGGCAGGATGTTCTTCTCCTTTAGCGTCTGGGAAAGTGTCTCTACATCTAGTGGAGGTGTCACCTGCCACATAATGCAATACAACAGAAGTTAATGATGGATCCTCATAAAGTATAAATTAATCAACAAAATATTAAAAATGAATATATTAGCTTCCGCACATTTGTGCCCAGCAATATGCGAGAGTAGTTTACTTTAAAAACTTGATTAATTACATTATAAATCAGTTTATGCAATTTAACAAATAAATAATCAAACATAATTCGAATTCAATCCGCCAAATGCCGAACTGAGTTTACCGGGAAGTCCAGGTTTAATTACATTATCTAGTTAGTCTCACAAAATGAATTTTGTATGTTCATATTGATATGGTAAACATCACTCTTGATATATGAAAGGTGTATGTTGAGCAACATTTCTAAAAATACCAATAAAAAAATTAAGGAAATTGCATTCACACAATAAAAGAAAATGCAAGTCGAATTATATAAAATAATACATTTTTATGAAAATGTTGGGTGTTCTGTTGCATCCTTAAATATATTCAAAGATTATTTTAAACATCTGAGAAGCATATTGAAGATACCCACATATCAAGTGCAAAGCATATTAATGGTGTGCGCTTCAAATCTTTCAAGAAACTTGATATAATGACCTCATGACAACTAGTTGAAAATCTTAGACCAAAATGATAAAAACTAAGAAAGCGCATTATTTTAATTAAACACGGTTCTATGGATAAATGAATTTGCAAGCAATTATGTGTTACAGCTCCGTGAAGTTATTGAATTAAACAACATATTTATGACAGTACACATCATTGCTACCTTAAAATTGACCTCTCATGAAAGTTACAAACTGTTCTACCAAATCATGCTGTAAAGTTACAACATCCAAATGGTATACCTTTATAATATATAAAAATGTAAATTGGACAAAAAAAGTAGTCCTAAAAGTATTTACCCGTTTGAGTCATAAAATCAATTTCCTTCGTGAATTATTATAATATATCGGGTATGTGATAAACATGTATTAACAGATACAACGCGTTTTAGAAGTTACAAGTAAAATCTGAAATATACAGTAGTTGAAATAATGGACATGAGTGCCCATAATAAAAAAAAAAAAAGGACTGAAGGTGTACAGAGAAAAAAATATATTTGGGGAATCGACATAGAAGATAAATTAAGTGGAATTGATCTATTCTCTTCTGCAATAAAAATTTTCAAAAGACACCTTTCCAAGGAAAGCTAAAACTCGCTTTTCGTCCAATTTAAATTTTTCAACTGCAATTTTTAATAAAATATATTTTTGATTGATCCTTACTCCATAATCAAGTATTAGCATGTTTCATTTTTGGCAGCGATTTAACAAACACTTGTATCTAAATACCACATATAAATTAAAATTCTGTGGAATTCCTAACAAGACTATTGCATAATGTTATTTTAAATATGTCAATGAATTTTAGATGTTCCTGACACATTTATTCATACATTTTGTGACCTTGTTTCAGGCACCAGTTTATAACACGACACGTAGAACAGATTTGTACGCGTTTGGTAGTTCACATCTGCAATAGGAATAGAAATTTTCCCACTACTTAAGCGAACGGCAATGTATTATTCAAACGCAAAGCTTATGTTCAGAACTGCATAGTTAAAACAAAAAAATTAAAATAAAATAAAAAATATCTCGCTTTAAATTAATACGGGTTAAACATAAAGTGAAAATAGGATCTACGATCGAAATGTTAGAGAATAGACAACATAGTTAGTTCTGGAAAAAAAAAAAAAAAGATTTTGCATACAATTTTTCAAATGTAAAACACATTATCCAATCCGTGTGGGTTCGATCCCGAATATTTTAATCACGTATTAATCCAAATGTTTGAACTCTATCCAATATTTTTTTCTGAACATAAAAGAATGTATCCGCAGACATTCAAAAATATTATTACACAGAATATGAAGTATCAATAAAAAAATATTTTCCGCGACGGTTTTCTTTGATTCCGCCACATCAGGCAGACCTTTGTACCTTTCTTTGACCTTCCGCGGTTTTTGTTCTTGTAAATGGGTCAAAAATGATGTCTACAAAATTAACTCCCATTCGAATTCTAGATTTTGATCGTTTAACGTAAAAGTTACATACCAATACTTGTACTGCCTCTATGAATTAAATGTGTATTTTCACAATTTTTAATATTTCTTAAAATTAGATGTGTTTAAAAGTCCGAATGGTTATGCAGATCAACTTCTAATGTAAGAATAAATGAGGAGTATATAAAATGAAAACAGTGTGACGCCCGTGTTGAAACGACTTTTGATTAAAATACAAAATTGACTGTTATTAAATTAAATGACAATAAAAAGCAATTATATTAAAGTCGTAAATAAGAATAAGATTTTCTGCATGACAATCTTGAAAAGATAAAATCTGGATAACAATGTGTCACACTGCAGAATTATATACTTTCCGTTAAGAATAACACGAAAATTGCGAAACCACAGAATTTTCAGAACATGACAATTTTATATAAGACATGTTTATAAACTAATAGAACATATAAAAATGTTAAAAAATTCTTGCTATTTGATTAAGTTTACCTTTGATGCAATGACAGTGCATTACTGTCTATTATCGCTACATTAATACTTGACTGGTCAATATGCCAGCTATGTTACAAGGTAAGGTGATGTAAATCAGGTGGTCTCAGTTTTTTGAAATATTATCACAAAGGTGTTACTAAATTACATCTTTTAAGTACCTCTTAACCTCTCTCCAGTATTCACTAAGCTATCAGTATTTATTAAAATACAACCGATATGTATATCACATCCAAAAACATTGAAGTATTTATTATTGAAATTAATGTAATATAAATTTTTATGTACTCAATTGTAAATGGTATCAACAAATTAGTGCATTCGACATATGGTATATAGCTTGCATGCGATTTTACAAAGAAGTTGAATGCTCATTGGAGATTTGTTCAATTTTTTGTATTATTCTTGTTTATTCTTATTAATTTTGCCAATAAATGGCAAACAATTATCCAAAATGAAATACTGCAAGCAGATTCATCATATATGGCAATATAAAATTTAAATTGAAAAACGAATAATGAAATTAATACAAACATTTTCGAGAAATGCAACTGGAAATACCATTTAATAGCACTGTTATTCATACACTCTTACATTGCTTGGATTTTTCAGTATGAATTCGACTAATATAAACAAAATAAAGGGGTAGATCAAGAAGTAGACGAGAGAACTGTAGTGTGTAATGCAGTTGGAATGCCACATCTGACATTGGTGATAAATATGACACAAAATGCAATATGAGTTATAAAAAATTATTACTTCTTTTAATGAGGTTTATATGTAATACAAAAATATGCATATATATATGTAATTCAAGTAAAAATAATAATGTTAGAATTTAATACTATTTTAATGAAGGAATACTTTAACACCTGTTCTACTTTATCAAAAACTTGCACGTTTTAATCTTATATACCCATTCAATATATGTTTGTTAAATTATTTAATTCATTACCACACTGTGGCATACCAACTCATATAAACCTGAGTAACGATAATAAACTAAATATTCTAACAAGTTGAAAATAGACAAGGCAATATGTAGATTAAATTAAAAGTCAGATTTGCCCAACGTAATTCTTATAGCTTTCGAACTTTTACAGTACAATGAAATTGCATTACCACCAAAAAGTTGATGAATACTGAGACTTTATATAATTTCTTCTTATCAGTTCTGTTTAATAGTTGCAATTTTTTAATGATGCAACAGTCTGCACTGTATAACCCAAGTGTTTAATGTAGATGTACTTACAGGCCGGATAATGTTTGCAGGTCTGTCCAGAAGTGATGTCCCTGATTTTCTTGGAGTTGAATTATTTAGTGCCGGACTAATGCTTCCAACACGATTACCATTACTAGTACTGGATTCTCGTCTTTGCTTCTTTGCTGGTCGACGAGCATCTCCACCTCCACTACTGTCAAGCCTCTTCGCTTTTGGAGTATCCTTTGGCAATATTGTCTTTTTACTTTACATGTACAATTTGAGATTTTCAAAAATAAATATGCAAACTCAATCATAGTTCTTAATAATTAATTATGAAAATTAAAGCAATAAAGATTTAGGGAGAAAAGAAAATATGTACAATACTAACTTTGCGTGGCCTCGGAGTTTTAGGAGTCTTCTTTTCTACTATGATGCTATCCTCTTTAAGTCTGTCAAAAAGTGAATCAGGGTCCAGACCATCTTCAAATACCTGAAACGTATAAACATTTATACATTAAAAGTATTTCATAAATTAATAAGGTGACAAAATTAATAAAATGTTTGGAGCATTATTATTTAATAAAATATCAGAAAATTAAACATTGTCTACATTTTGTAATTTATAAGAAATAAAGTAAAAATCACGTTATAAAGTACTTAAAATGTGAAGTCAAACAATTTTGTGTAGAAGCCTATAAGTTACGTGAAATTGCATATTTACCTGGCCTTTAGCGATGAAATCTTCTATCGCTTCAATGGCATCTTTGAATCCACCTGATTTGTTAGATTTTACTAGAGTATCCTTAAATTCATGATACGGTTTAATGTTGGTCTCTTCTATCCATGCGCTATAATAAATTATTTCTTTTCTTAGTTCTTTCAATTATAGCAACATAATTTGTGTCGAATTAGAAAATGTAAAATCTCACTAGTTATTTGTTCCAAAGAAGAATATACACTGAACTGGACCCTTCTTAGTATTTGATGGCTTCTTCAAGTCCTTGGAAGGATTGGAGACCTTCGAATATCATCATAACATTATATATTACTAGTTACACTTGTAAAGCATAATGCTCCTTAAGGGTAACACTTAAGAACCAAAATTTTAACTAAATAATAATTTACAGCCAGTATTGACAGGATACCTGTTTTTTTTAAATTTATTTTCCAGTTTCTCAAATCAAGATATTCTTGGTTACACAAAAAAATATTAATAAAACATCACATTTTACTATAACTATATTTTTATTTTAATACTGCTTGATTTAAAAAAAAATACCTCAAACTAAAAACTTACATAGATTGGGCTCAGAATATGAAATGTTCCTTTACAAAGATAAGTTTGAAAGTACATATGTAAAAAAAAAAATAATAAAATGTGTAGTGTTAATAACAATATAATCTTTTTAAAAGCTGACTGTATATGAAAAATGAAGGTGCTTGGTTTCTGCTGCATTTAACTAAATAATATTAATTTTGATCTTTAATGATAAAGAATTACTGATGACTTCAAAATTTATTAAAAAAATACTTAAAATGTTAAACAGGAAATGAAAATAAAGTAGGCTCCAGCAAACCACTGAAAAATATAATTGATATACCAGGCCTTTTGCTGTTTACTGAAACAGATGGATATTATAGCAATTCAATATCATTGAAACATTCATAAATCTTTATATTGAATAAAATAAGTAGTTCTATGTGAAAACAATATGAAATTTCAGAAAGACTGCATTCTTTGTACGCAATTAACTTGCCAAATAAACAAATTAATATTAGTGTTATACCTTTGGAAGCCTTAGATCAATTTGTACATCAATGTTTTAACTCACTAAACCAAGTAAAGATATATTAAAAAAAAATAAAAAGAGTTTACAATTCAATTGTTTGGTAGAAATAAGAATTAAGCCTGTGCAGTAATCATGAATGTGTAGATATTAGAAGAAATGAGATCTATATTATTACGAACGAGTCGATTCTAATTTTCATACGGGATAAAAGCGTTTATTGATAATATGGGAAATAAATGAAATACCAAATTTAGGTTATATTTTCAATGGTTGCGCGCCTATTTGAACGTGTTTGTCGATAATATGGGAAATAAATGAAACACCAAATTTAGGTTATATTTTCAATGGTTGCGCGCCAATTTGAACGCGGTGAACGGGTGTGGCGGGAGAACGTGATACGTGTGACTGGGACCGGCTGGATACGTGTTAGTATAAATACAGTGTTTCTCAAGCAAGAAATTCAATGGTCTCGAAAAGAGCGAAATTCCACTAAATCGACCAACGGATAATCTAGCGCGAACGATAGCACAGTGTAGTTAAAGTAGACCGTTAGCGAGTGCTTGTACTTACTCGGCCTGGCCACGGCGAAAATCCCTTCATCTTGGCCCTAAAATCCAGAATACATAGTGATTAATGGCTGCTACATTTTTGACTGTTCTTTAGAAATAAAACTATATACTTAAAGCACATCTGATACACACCATACCAAATCACCAAGTTTGAATATTTCAGACATCACGACCGCGCATCCAACCTCGCTCACGATCGGCAAGCAACTGACTGACGAACGGAGCGTCGTTTGTGTATGACTATGGAGTCCAAATCAACCTCCGTAACGACGTGAGTCAAACCAGCGACCATTTTTGTGCAATAAGTATTCATATTGGTCTTCTTAGAATATTTATGTTATATTCACAGATTTTATGGTTTAACGATATCATTTAGTTATACTATTTTCAATTATGAAAAAATTAATATACAATCCCTAGATAACGCTTCCGGTAATGGGCCACCACTTCGAGACTACAGTTTAGGGAATTTAATGTCTGCTGCACCTGTAATTCAAACAGATGATCAATTATAAGTCTGTATTTACGAGCGGTAAATTTGATGTATAAACTGTTTTCAATACGTTGAAATAATAAAACTGACTCTCAAACTAGTTATAGATTAGGACAAAATTGAATAAATTAGATATCAAATATAAACGACGAAATATTCCCGCTTGGTACCTTTGTGAATTTTGTCGATCAGCGGTAAAATGCAAACATATAAAGAAATGCTTAACAAAGTCTCAGAATATATTACTATAAACTCGGAGATATACTTTTGTTTCAATTTTTCATTATGGAATTAAGGAGTAATCGTAAACAGAGATGAGTTGGGAGATTGCTCACGGGCAGGGTC